AGTACGTTTTCATATTTAAACGATTTGCCACTGATGATTCAAACGCGAGTTTTGAGCAGTGTAGCGCTTGTTGTTTGTTGTTTCTCCGATCACAAATGCAGACATGGTTTTATGTTTACGCAGCGCGATACGCAACGCAACGTGTAAAAAGACAGTATAAGTCATTATAATCAGCAATTATGTCCCCACTGGATGCAACAAATGCCTAGTTTATAATGGGTTTTATTGGTATTGTCTCGTCCTGCTGGGAGACGGCATCACAGTATGCTAAGGAGCGTAACATTTCCTTGAGGTATTCGGCCAATCACAACGCACTGGATATCTGGTCTATTGCCAAAAGATCCTTGCTTGCTACCTTAGCTCGTAGCTTACTCATAATAATTACCTCTCTTTCAAGAGCTGACAAATCATCAAATTTTGTATTTCACCCGTGGCCAGGGAGAATACAAAATTTACATATTCAATTGGTAATATACACTGACATCAGCTTCTCGCTGGCCGAGTAGCTGATAAAAGTATAAACTATTGAAAGTCAAAGTCAGTTTTGATCAGGTGGACCTCGAATTCTCAGATCGAGTTCTTTTAAAACCTGAGCTAGAAATAAACCTGAATGAATTAATAATGATTAATTCCCTTACAACTAAGTAAATTATTACAACATTATATGGAAAATAATGTGTGTTTTTAACCTTAAACCACATAAACACATTGCATTACACCAAATACACAAAATAATGTTCTTTTTAGCGGCATCATATGACCCCTTTAAACCACAAATAAATATTCGATGATACCATACCGGTTGTCCAGGTATATAAATTGTCTCAGTGCCTTCTTGTTCCTCTGGTCTGCCTGGTGGACCAGGGGGACCAGTTAAACCTCCTTCTCCCTGAAAAAAAATAACAGGAAATAATATGATTAGTGCGACTAAACCAGTAAAATGGCGGTCAGCTTTAGTGATGCAACAGGTGGGGGGGTGCAAATGGGGTACAGAGTTTGAGGCTTATGCTTATTGTTTGTATCATATTGTCAGCTTCCAGTCATGTTCAATAGCAGGAAGTACTTAGGCAGATCTAGTTTATTACTTTGTGTTTGCCTGGCTGAAGCATATGCTGCAAGTGCCACTATAGGTTCGAATGGCAGATGTTTTATGAGCCCATGGTTCCTCACCTTTTGTCCTTTCTCACCAATAAATGTCAGCTTGTCACCCTACAACAAGGACAGTTAAGACAGACGCTGGTCATTTCAGTAAGTCTAGACTCAAATGTTATCAAATATTCAAAAGATTTCAAATGAGTGAAACAGTTACCTGCTCTCCCTTTTGGCCAGGTTCACCAGACCTTCCCTTCAAAGAAAAATCGTATAGTGTGAGATTCAGGAGCAAGTTCACTGGTGTTGGTTAATTGTGCTTAAGGCTACAAACTACATTTTAACTTTAGACTCACAGGAGGTCCCATTGGTCCAGGTGGGCCGATTGGCCCTTGTTGTCCAGTATTTCCTTGTTGTCCCTAAGAAAGAAAAGAGAATTAGATAACGTTTGGAAACAATGGAACATGTGAACATATACAACAGATAAGAAGTTATCAATAGTAAATGCATATTTTCAACATGAAAAGAAGTGCATTAAAATCATTACTGGTGAACCGGGTTGTCCTGGCAAGCCCCTGTCTCCTTTTAGAGGGATGGGTACTCCAATAACACCACCTGGATCTCCCTATGAGAGTGAAATATGAGCACACACAAATTTCACTACACCATTTTTACGATACATGTCAATAACTAATGAACTCTACTACTTTTAAGAATTCATTATTCTGAAAATATAATTCATTATTAGTGATGTCTTTTATCATATTACCACCATTTTATAAAAGTAACTATGCACTCGAGAATGTGCGTTATATTGATTTGACCATGGTTACAGTTGTTTTAGGCACTCTTCATATTTCACGTTATGCTTCTTTCTAATTTTCAACCAGCTTTATATTGTGACAATGTCAGTAGTATAGGTAAATTATTCATGTGTACAGATACAGAAGAAAAAAAGTATGCATTTCTGCTTCATAGACAGCAAACTTTAATTAAAAGCCAATAGTGAATTACCACTTTAAGAGCACCCCATACTTGTGGTAAAATCACTGTAACATATGGCCGTCCATGACTTATTCCTTTATTATGCAAAACTAAGTTAGAATGTGTTCCATACCTTTACTCCCTTCAAACCTGGAAAACCCTGAGTAAGAATCAGAAAAACATTTGTTAAGTCGGGAATATTTTGTTTTGTGGGATTAACAACATACATTGACTTATAACACATAATGTAAGATGTACATTTTTATCTAAAGGCACAATACATTAAGCACTGATATACATTTGACATATTAGAGTCATATATGATATAAAACTACTCATACGGGTGGTCCCTGCACCCCCAGAACACCTGGAATTCCATCAAAACCACGCTCCCCCTGCAACACACAAAATAAATCTTCTATTCAATCCCACTGAGGATTTTCTGAATAATTTAAGACAATTAAAGTAGTGGCTTATCCCTATAGGCTCACTTTGCATTTTAAGGATTAAAAAATGTATAGGTCTCATAAAAACAGCAAACATGGTGTACCTTTGTTCCATTGCAGCCTGGGATTCCGTGAGGTCCTGGTGCCCCTTCTAGACCTGGAAGACCCTGTAGAAAATCAAAACAATAGCAGAAACATATAGAGATGCAGAGAGTTTATGTTTTTCCTAAAATTCATGAATGATGATCAATTTTGTTTGAACAGAAGTTCAACTTACAGGAATACCTGGACGTCCTGGGAAACCAGCCACACCTGGTGGGCCCTACAAAAAGAAAAAACTCTATAATATATAATATTGTAAAAGTTAAATGTATATACAGTGTTATAGTGTTGCTATTGTAAAATTATATGTAAAAAAGAATATTTTCTTTATTATTTGCCTTACAGAAAATGACTATATTATAACATAATATATTTATTTATCATATGATATTTATGGACACTTACTCTGTTTCCTTTAAGTCCTGGAGCTCCTGACTCCCCTGTATCTCCCTGGGTTAAAACAAAAAAACATATTGAAAGAACACTGCAATTCATGTTTGCTTTTGCTCATTTGCATTTGAAAACTACATTAGTTCATTTGTTAGTTAGTTTCCTTTACTTGACTTACCTAACTGCAAAGTGTTGGTCACCATTTGTAAAACCTAGGGTGACCATGATGAGCTTTTCAAAAAAAGAGGCCTATTGCTTTTTAATGGTAAAAATCAAAATAAAACGGTTAACATTGGATAATGCTTTATTTAATGCATTAGGAATTATTAATCTAGGTATAAATATACCATTTATGTAACTTGTCAGATTTAAAAAAAATAGCATTAACTTCTGTTTATAAATGTATTGTTTTACAAAAGCATTGTTCATTGTTAGTTCATTTTAGCTTACAAAGTCACTCCTTTGGCTAATGTGTTGTGCATTGCTGGACTAAAGTGTGCTTCTAAAACATAGGCTAATTCTTCATTGAATTAGCATTTTTGTTTGGGTATGTAGATGGAGTCAGACGTTCACTGTTGTGCCTGAAGCTGTACGGTGCTTTTTACATCGGTTTCACACATACTGTGTGAGCGAGGCGATGCTCCCAGTGTGAATACTGCTGTAATCTGTTACTACAAGTGTTATATAATAATCAGGCGTTACGCTTGTGCATGGACATGTGGTCACCCAATAAAACCTAAAGCAAAACCAGTTGAGATCCACTGCACCGCACTAGTATGTAGGACACACACACTCTCAAAAAAGGGATATTTTGTATTTTGAAATGACTTCAGTATGGTACTTTACCGTTGGTCCCATTGACCCTGGGGGGCCCTCGGGCCCTGGCAATCCAGGAAATCCTACAAGGCCCATCAAACCAGGGAGCCCAACCTCACCCTAATAAGGATGAACGAAAGATGATGATTTAAAGAAAATTTGTGTTATCCACCTTTTCTTAATAAAGCAGCATTTTCTATGTAGTACATTTCATATGCATTCCACATTCACTGTTGATCTTACAGGACAGAGTATATACTGTTAACATAATTGCACCACTAGATGGTGCAACAGATCCTTCTATGTAAGTTTCAGGGGCCCTAGAAAGTGTATCTCAGTGTGGTATGGAAACAGCTCCAGTCAAGACTGCAAAGCCCTGCAGAGAGTTGTGCACTTAGCTGAGCGCATCTCAGGGTCTGCTCTCCCCTCTCTACAGAACATCTACCTCAAACGCAGCAAAAACAGAGCTGTTAAAATCATCAAGGACTCCAACCACCCTGGTAACGGTCTTTTCATTTTGCTGCCATCTGGTAAGCGCTTCCGCAGCCTGATGGCAAAAACCGAGAAACTTAGGAGGAGCTTCTTCCCCCAGGCCATCAGGCACCTAAACTCATATTCAGTCTCTTAACACCAACATGATTTCACTTAATTATCAGTAAGACACTTAATATACAGACATTGTCACTTGCACACAGCAATTTCTGTAATATTTTATTTATTTACTTTTTTTTTACCTCTATTGCTGCTATGTAACTACCCATGTACAACCTGTTTGCACATTCTTCTATTGTACATTCCTGCTCATCTAAATATTTATTAAGCCTACAGTATACTGTCCTGTGTATTTTATTTTATTCTTATTTTTTATCTTACTTTTTCCATACCTATATTTATATATAATTTTCTTGTGTTTGTATTCTTTAATAATTGCACTGTCCATGGAGCGGACCCGACTTACATTTCACTGCTGGTCATATATTCCCTATATAACCATGTATGTGACAAATAAAAATCTTGAATCTTGAAGTTTAGCGCTCTGACATTAGGAAATGCATCCATAAGGTAATATATGGCACAAGTGAAGGTGTCTGACAGAAATAATAGCTATAAAGGAGCAAGCAGAGGAAAACATACTCACCTTCGCCCCTTTAACACCACTGCAGTCACATCCACCACATGAAGACCCCGAGCATCCACCCTGCAAGCAGAAAATGACTGTGAAGTTCCAAACTGAACCATTAGGAGGCAGTAAACACATAATATTGGCATCAGCAACAGGTTTACAGAGTAGATGGCTTTCAAGGACAAGAGCTTTGAACCAAATTATGGGCGACGCAAGGGTGGCATAAAACCAGTAATTCAAAGCTGGCGGAATACTAATGATATGGAAATAACATGACAAATTAATATATGCAAAACATTTTTGATGTATACTTTGAAAAATGTAAATAAGAATCGTGACCACCATTTCTTTGCTTACATTGTGCAGTTTTGTCTCATTTTTACGATTATTTCTCGTACAGTAACAGGTAAGATGTGAGATATTTGAGACATTTTTTGTCTAATAATCCACATACCACAGACAGTATTTCACAGAGAAGCAGTCTACATAGATTTCACTCAGCCAAAGTATATTTAAAAGATTTCAATTACATATAGACACAGGTTGCTCTTTTTGTGTTGTCCCTATGAAACAGCACTTTATATTTTTGGAGACTTTAAAGGGGCAACATGCACAACACCACCAGTGCAAATAATGCAGTAAACCGTAAAGTGAAGTAATAGTAGTTTTGTGCATAACAGCCTAGGGGCAGTCGTGGCCTAATGGTTAGATAGTCCGCCTTGTAACCCAAAGGTCGTGGGTTTGAGTCTGAGGTGAGATCTGAACCCCTTAGATCACTGAACCCCCAACTGCTCCCCAGGCGCTGCAGCAAAAAAATGGCTGTTCACTGCTCTGGGTGTGTTTGTTCACTACTCACTTTTATGTGTGTGCACTTGGATGGGTTAAATGCAGAGCACAAATTCTGAGTATGGGACACTTGGCTACACATCACATCACTCACGTCTTGATTGAATCCTGCCGCAGTGTTGGGAAACAACTAACTAACAATTCCAATGCTACTAACTCGCCTACATTTTCAGTAGCTGAAAAGTAGCTCAACTGCTTTCAAAACAGTGTAGCTTTTCCAGAAACAATCTAAATCTTTTTCCCAATGATTATTGGTGTGAGTGACGCAACCAAAAGCCACTGTACACTGTTAACTTGCGTAAGCACCATCACTTCTGAACGAGCAGACGTAAACAAACAATCTTACTAGCTTTCTTTCCAATGTAGCGCTGGAAAGTCTGATTCATTCTGGTGAATTGCTTTGTTCTAAGCGCTCCTCTCTTTCATAATCAACATTGGAAAGTCTGATTCATTCTAATGAATTGGTTTGTCCTAAACGATTCTCTCTATGTGTAGAGCTTGAAAGTCTGATTCTTTCTAATAAATCGGTTAGTTTGGAGGGTTGCTGTAAACAAATTAATAAAAGATTTAAAGATTCAGTTTAATTGTTCTATTATTTTACAGTTAATTGTGTAGATATAAGTTAAAAGAATGCTAAAAAATTACAGATGATATTTCTTCGACTTCATTTGTTAAATGGAAAAGGAAGGTCAAGTCAAGCTTATTGTTTTATAGGTATACAGGAGATAGCTATAGTTCCCTAATCATTCACCCCAAAGAGAGAGGTCCCATAAAATTTTACTATGGTCCCCATGAATCTTAGCAATTAGAACTGATGTATACAGAAAATCTTCATACCACACACAATATATACTGCATACGGATATACAGTACATGCATATGTTACCGTGAAAATAAAACAGATTGTTTGGTCTATCCTGAAAAATGACAGATACCTTAGAGGGACCTGTAAATTCAAACAGGGCATCAGGCCAAGAATGGAACAGACCTGTTTACCTGTTATGACTCAAATAAAGGCCTGGCACTGGATCCTGGGAACCCATTTTTTCCATCCACGCATTCTATCACTGCAGCCGTTCTCTCGCTCACGTGTGAGCCAGGCAGCCAAATGTCTGCACATCTGGAGAACCAATGTGAGCACTAGCAGCAGCTGCCGGGGTCGGCCTGAGACTGTGCTGCCCCCACCCATGAGCCCTCCTAAAGGCCCAACTGAATCAGCATGTGGGTGCTGAGGACCATGAGAATCACTACTTTCGGTCTCAAATATCACCTGGGGCGTGACCTGCTCTGGCCATTTTTACAAAAGCTTGATATCCCTGGAGTGTAATTTCTGTATGTGAACAGACAGATCTGACATCCCTAATGCAATCTCAGTGCCAATGAGAGACATTCTTCCAGCAATTCACAGACAAGCTTACAAAAGTTTATCCTTTTCTGCAAGGGAACTGGATGTCTTGTAAGGAAAATACCCCCCCCCCCCCACACACACACCACCCCACCAAATCACGACCCTGTTTTTGAACTGGCCATTTTTACAAAAGCTTGATATCCCTGGAGTGTAATTTCTGTATGTGAACAGACAGATCTGACATCCCTAATGCAATCTCAGTGCCAATGAGAGACATTCTTCCAGCAATTCACAGACAAGCTTACAAAAGTTTATCCTTTTCTGCAAGGGAACTGGATGTCTTGTAAGGAAAATACCCCCCCCCCCCCACACACACACACACTCACACAATATCACGCCTGTTTTTGAACTGTTTAACGTAGTGCTGACCTACATCTTAACAGTCAGTCAGTCCATTAAAACAAGTAGGCACTGTCCTGTTACACTTGTTTTTGTTGTCAAAACTATTAAATAGGTTAGTTTGAAAATTAGCTCATTTAAGCATGTGCCTTTTTGACTGTATGCAACAGTTAAAAAAGTACAACAATGCCATTATATGTGATAATTTGACTAAATTGAACTAAATCATTTTATTTTGTACATTTTAACTAGTAAAAAAAGTTAGTTTAGATAATTCACTTTTTTGTATAATACTGTTATTGCATGATTTCCCTGTCATTATATTATATTATATTATATTACTTTTTTCAGCAAGGTGAGAAAACAGGTAGAGTAATATCAGTCCAATTTCTAAATAATGAGAGAAACACTCATATAAATGATTAAATAAATATTTATTTTGAAACAAATTTAACAAAACAAATACATTTATTATGCAAGGGTGCATTAAATTAATCAAAAGTGACAATAAAGACAATTATAATGTTACAAAAGATTTCTATTTCAAACAAATGTTTTTCTGTTGCAATTTCTATCAATCACATAATCCTGACAAATATATATTTCCTTTGCAGCAAATCAGCATATCAGAATGGTTTCTGAAGGATCATGTGGCACTGAAGACTGGAGTAATAATGTTGAAAATTCAGCTTTGCATCAAAGAAATACAATTATTTTTTAAATTTGCATCCTTGGCACGCATAAAAGAGCATAGATTTTGAACAGTATGTCCAACTAGTCTTTCTAGAAGCTAAACTTAAGTTTTGTACTCTTTTCGTGGAAAGTGGCAGTAATTCATTCATCCTGTTAGAAACAACCAGCAGATCTCTGAAGGCCAAAGTCAGATCTGTTGAGGATCAGACATTCCATTTTCTCCAACACATGAATGAGGTCAGATCCCACCCCTGCCGATACGCATGAGTAGTGTGATCTCTGTACATGTGTATATATTGCTTTATCGTTCGAATGTATGTTTTAGCACACAGAGATCCTGTGATGGCTACGCCCGGTTCAGACCACAGCGTGCTAATCTGCAGCTTGGATCGGCACAGCAGGGGAACTGCTTTGAAATGGGAATTTTGTTTTTCCTTCTTGGGTCAGTCTTGCATCCCAACAAACCCAAACATGACATGAGCCGAAAAATAGCAAAAGCAGACAAGAGTGCTGATAAAACTCTCAACAAATGCTTTTTATAGACATGAAAAATGTGAGTTGCTTTCAAAATCATTATCGTGAGACTTTGTGTTTGGCCCATGATACATAAGCCAGCTCTCTTCTGGTTTTGTCTAGGGTGTCTATGCACTGCTCTCAGAACAAACAACCCGTGAAAGTGAGAAAATCAATCAGGCATGAAAACACAAAGACACAACCTGTCCTCACCTTTACCTTTCTGCTTGTTTAAAGTACAAAAAGCGAGATATTTGACACCGTCAGCGTGAAAGGAGGCTGTTTCACAAACCCTAATGTAGTTTCTTTGGCTTTTAGTATTAATTTGCTAATATTTTGGATGGAACGACTTTGATAATTGGTTTCAGGCTTCGACAGATTGTATAATAAACATGTATAGACATTCATTTCTAAATGAGCTATGATTTTTAGGCTCTTTGAGAAAAATAAATAAATGTTGGACAGATTTATTTTCCATGAATGCATGGAAACAAATGATTAATCATTTGAAATGAACTCATTCGAATTGCTTGTTTTGTTGTGTGTGCCAGTTTCCATTTCTAACATTTGTTTTTCTTCTCGTCTCCCTTGAGCTAGTTGTGTTCACATATATGTAACAAGGTAGGTGACAATGTTTGGGAGGCAACAGTCAAATATAGATACAGTGAAATATAAATACCACTATGATTGACTATTTACTTCATCAATGGGACAATAGCTAACTTCACTGCAAAAATAAATGATTTTCTTACTTTATTTTGTTTTCCAGTGCAAATATCTAACGATTCAAGATACAAGCCAAAAGACATAAGATATGAAGTGTTGTTTTCTGGAAAATGAATCAAAATGAAGTGAGTTTAAGCTTAAAACAAGACAAATATCTTCCAATTGACTCTTCACAAAGACCCGCCCCCCTTAGTTACTGTTGCTACATCCGACAAGCCATGGCGCTCTCACATCACACATCATGTTCTCACGCAACAAAAAATACATTGTGGATCAAAGAGGAAACTGACAATGCACTGACAGACAAGACAGAGCAGGTTACTTTTGGTATGAAACAAAGTCTCAGCTTTCAAATTCTGTCATTTTTTAAGAAATTCAAGCAATAAATAGCGTTTTGTGGCTCTTTAACGTGTCGTGACAGATCGCTGTAGCGCCTCAGTTCAAGCATCACGTGAACCAATCATCTCTTTCTCTTTACTAGTTATAGCACAAAATAAACATGAATGAACATCAGAAGGTATCTTGTTTCAACTGTGGAAAGATGTCAATA